GTGGTCCCAGCTACTTGAGAGGCAGAGGCAGGAGATTCACTTGAGCCCAGGAGTTGGAGGTTGCTGTGAGCTGTAATGCCACAGAACTCTACCCAGGGGGACAGCTTGAGGCTCTGTCTCAAAAAAAATTTTTTTTCATAGACTAGACATGCACATGTATGTATCAGTAAAGTAGACCTAGTTCCTTATGTTGATCACCTCTGTATGGACCATACAGAGGTCAAAATACAGAGGTTCTACTAGAAATTTGAATCATGGCACATTTAGAACATTCTGCATACAGACTGTAATATCACTGCCATCAGAAGCTCAGAGTCTTAGAAGTACAAAGGCAGGATTTTTGTGTGTGTGTGCAGTTTTTGGGCGAGCTGGGTTTGAACCTGCCACCTCCACATATGGGGTCGGGACCCCACTCCTTTGAGCCACAGGAGCTGCCTGGGGCAAAGGCAGGAATCTTAATTGTAGAATCCTTAAATTAGGCATCTTAGAAAGTTTCAATTCATTCTTTCAACAGCCATTTATTGAACACCTACTATATTCCAGCACTGTCCTTGGCCCTAAAGATACAGCTATGAATAAAACAGACAAAATCCTGGCTGTCATAGAGCTAACACTCTACAGAAGAGACAGACAATAAACAAGTGAATATATGATGTTTGATTCGGATGAATGTGTGGAGTAAAATAATGCAAGGTAGTCTTGAAAGTAACAGGGTGCTGGGCAGCACCTGTGGCTCATTGGGTAGGGCGTCAGCCGCATATACCAAGGTAGGTTGGTTTGAACCTGTCCTGGCCAAACTGCAACAAAAAAATAGCTGGGTGTTGTGGTGGGCACCTGTGGTCCCAGCTACTTGGGAGGCTGAGGCAAGAGAATTGACTAAGCCTAAGTGCTGGGAGTTGCTGTGAACTGTGACACCACAGCACTACCGAGGGTTACAAAGTGAGACTCTCTGTAAAAGAAGAAGAAGAAGAAGAAGAAGAAGAAGAAGAGGAGGAGGAGGAGGAGGAGGAGGAGGAGGAGGAGGAAGAAGAAGAAGAAAGTAAAGGGGTGCTGTTTCAGACAGCATGGTCAGGAAGGTTTCTCTGATAAGTTATTTGAGCAGAGACCTGAATGAAGCGAGGGAGCCATGCAGATATCTAGGGAAGAAGTCTTCCACATGTCTACTTGCAGAGGGGAAAGGCAGTGTAAAGGCATTATGTTTGGCATATCTAAAAAACAGAGAGGTGTGAAGGTGTGACTAGAGCAGAGCAACTGATTGGGAGAGGGGTAGGAGATAGCTGAGGGCAGAGAGGTAAGGGGGGGATCAGCAGGTCCTCCGTTTGTAATCCAAAGTAAGGACAAGATCTGAGAATGTGAGGATGATACTCTTAACATGTTGAAATCACAAATTCTTAGAATTTTGGCATCTGGATACTAAAGACATTCAAGTAGCTAAATCTAAGATCGTGGAAATCCCCACCTGTCAGACCCCAGGGTGTGGGGCAGAGAATAGTTGACATGGACTGTTATTGCCTGGAGTTCAGAGATCACGAGGATGAGGCCAAGAGTTCTCAACTGGGAATCCATCCCACCAGAACTAACCAGGGGCTTTGCACACAAGAAATGCTCAATACTGCTTGGAAACTGAAATCTGACGCCCCCATCCCCACCTCGTTTCCTCAGACCTGGAGTGGAGTGGGTCTTTCCCAGGGTTTCCACTAATCAGCGGTAAAGTCCGCTAAGGACACGTAAGTCCTTGCCCCAACCCAAGGATGGCTGTTTTCCGGGGGCAGGGGATTGGATAATTTGGGAGAAGTCGGGGTGCCTCTTGGGCAGAAAACAGGAGTAGGATTCGAAGACAAGTGATGGGGAGTCTGACTCCTCTTCTCCACCCTGGCTCTACCCCTCCGTTCAACCCCCACCCAGCCAGCTGCAACCAGCACCAGAGCCAGGGGACAGCTCCTTGCTTAGCCCTCATTCCCGGGCGGGGCCGGATGGTACATCCCAGCGCCCAGCGCGCCCCTCGCCAGATATCTCAGTGCCCCCTACCTCCGCCCTGCTTCTCCCGGGTCCTCCGGGTCACGCTGTCCCCATCGCTGGCCAGAGAGCTGGGGGAGGGGAGAGCTCCCTTTGTCTCCTTCGCCTCCTCCCTCCATCCCAGCTCTCCCGCGGCGGGGCGCGGAGGGGATACAAGGGAGGACCCCAACTGGGCCTCTGAGCTCCACACCAGGCCGGAGCCTCCCTCTACTCACTGCAGTGGGCGAAGACCGGCAGGACCTGCCCCATGGCCCCCCTCGGGCCTGCATCGGGACCCCCGCCCACTCCGGCCGCGCCGCCCTGGGCCTGGGGCCGCTGGAGCTCATCTCCGCCGCGCCCACGACGCCGCCGCCATCCTCGCCGCCTCCTCCTCCGCGGCCGCTCCAGCAGCCGCCGCCGCCGCCGCCGCCGCCGCCGCCGCCCTCCGCTGGGCTTGGCTAGTCGGGGGCGGGCGGGGCAGCGGTGGGACGGCACTGCAGCGCGGGGCCGGGGGCGGGGCCAGAAGACAGGCGGGGTGGGACCTGAGGGAGGGCGAGGAGGCGGGGAAACGCTGAGGAGCTCGCGTGGGAAGGGCGTGGCTTTTTTACTAGAGGGGAGAAGCAAAGAGGGGAGGTGAGTCGGCCTGAAAGAGAAGTCTACACAGAATGCGGAGCTGCCTTAAGGGAAAGAAGTGAGGGGCCTAGAATAGGGGGAGGGGCCAGGGAGAAAATAATGAAGGGAGAGTTGGCAAGAGGATGGGGGCTTGGATCTCAGAATGTGTTGGGCTGTAGCTAGGGTTGTCACTGAAGAGGGAGTAAAATCTAGGCTCTTAGGTTAATTCCGAACCCAGTTTCGCAGCGGCAGTGGAAATAGGGGCGGGAAGAAACGGCTCAAACTTTTCAGGCAGGGGGAGGAATTCAGACGTCGGTGGGGCTAAAACAATTTATAGTTATTCAAATAACCGGACGAGTCGCAGTTAGAAGTGTGAAGCCTGGGCTGTGAAAACTGGAAGGGTCTGGCTCGGCGCCTGTGGCTCAGGTGGCTAAGGCGCCAGCCACATACACCTAAGGTGGCAGGTTCGAATCCAGCCGGGCCTGCCAAACAACAGTGATGGCTGCAACCAAAAAAAAAAAAAAAATAGCCAGGCGTTGTGGCGGGCGCCTATGGTCCTAGCTACTTGGGAGGCGGAGGCAGGAGACTCGCTGGAGCCCAGGAGTTGGAGGTTGCTGTGAGCTGTGATGCTATAGCACTCTACCCAGGGTGACAACTTGAGGCTCTGTATCAAAAAAAAAAACCCCAAAACTGGAAGAGTCAGACTGAGGCTGTGTGCATGAAGGGATGGGGAGAACTTGAAAGAGAAAGCAACTTAAGGCCCTTAGCAACCTAAGGGGTGAGAGACAGAGAGAAGGGGTCGAACTAAAAAAAGTAGTATATTTAAAGGTTTTGAGGCTGAAGGCTGTACCACTGAGTTGGTAGAGTTGGACTGCTTGAGCAGGGTTGGTACCTGAAACCATTCATGTTGTATTGAGAACACAAAATCTAGAGTTAATTTCCCAGTAACACCGTTTCCGTCTTCTGTGACTCTGTTTCCTCTTCGGTAAATTGGAGATGATGATGTATAATAGTGCGTGACAAAATTCCAGTTCGATGTTGCGGGACAGAATACCAGAAGTGCAATTCATTCTAGTGATCCGACTTAAGTTGAGGTCAAGGGACAGGAAGGAGATTTAGATAGTTTAAAATCTCACAGCGGAGGGGATTAATGGGGGGGGGGAGGTATAGCCTTCCTGATCCAGGGTTGAGTGATGGCTGCCCTTGCCCGCTTGCTGGAGCGTCTCCTCCGACCTACTCGCAAGGAAAAGGAGGGGGAAGAGGAGGAAGAAGAGGAGGGTGAGGCGGGGCGCCGGGCTCTAGCTCGGCCTCAGTCTCTCCTGGCTGCACCGCGATGCGCCCAGCAGCCACACGGGGGTGCCGCAGCGTCTTGGGGCCTGCGCTTCGGGGCAAGCGCAGCTCAGGGCTGGCGCGCACGCATGGAGGACGCGCACTGCGCTTGGCTCACTTTACCTGGGTTGCCCCCGGGCTGGGCTTTCTTTGCTGTACTCGACGGCCACGGCGGGGCGCGAGCTGCTCGCTTTGGTGCGCGCCACCTGCCTGGCCACGTGATCGAGGCGCTGGGCCCCACACCTGGCGAGCCTGAGGGCGTACGCTGGGCGCTGCGCCGAGCTTTCTTGACCGCGGACGAGCGCCTGCGTTCTCTCTGGCCCCGCGGCGAACAGGGCGGCTCCACGGCTGTGGCATTGCTCGTCTCTCCGCGCTTTCTATACCTGGCGCACTGCGGTGACTCTCGTGCGGTGCTGAGCCGCGCCGGCGCTGTGGCCTTCAGCACCGAGGACCATCGACCTTTCCGTCCCCGGGAACGCGAGCGCATCCACGACGCGGGCGGCACCATCTGCCGCCGGCGCATCGAGGGCTCTCTGGCCGTGTCGCGAGCACTAGGCGACTTTGCTTACAAGGAGGCTCCGGGGAGGCCCCCAGAGCAGCAGCTCGTTTCCGCGGAGCCTGAAGTGGCCGCACTGGCACGCCAGGCTGAGGACGAGTTCATGGTCCTGGCCTCCGACGGAGTGTGGGACGCTATATCTGGTGCTGACCTGGCCGGGCTGGTAGCTTCGCGCCTCCGTTTAGGCCTGGCCCCAGAGCTTCTTTGCGCGCAACTGTTGGACACGTGTCTGTGCAAGGTCCTGGGGGTGGGGCATGGTATTACTGAAGCTTGGTGCACTACCGGGGCAAGAATTCAGGATTTAGGGGGAAGAGGAGCTTTGATGGAGAGGATACAGTAAAAGCTAGCGGAGTAAAAACTAGAATAAAGCTGCCCTCCTGCCCGCCTCCCGCTCAACTAAAGGGCGTGGTCTGCTGGAAAGGGCAGAGCTAAAATGTGCGGACAGCGGAGCCTGTGGGCTTCATTCCGGCTCTGCGGGAGAGCCCCAGGTTGGTGGGAGGGGCTTAAGCGAAGGGGCGTGGTCTTTTGGAATGCAGCGGTTGTAGGCCTGTGAGGAGTAGGGCCAAAAGTAAGATCAGTGCTAAAAGAAGGAAGAGCAGGTAAACAGCAGAGTGGGCAAACTTCAGAGTACGAGCATGGTTATCTTTTAATAGGAAGAGTTTAGGGGTGAGGAGCGTGACCTAAGGAATTGAGCCAAGTTAGAAATGGCTGATGGGTGGAACCTTAAAGAAAGGAGAATAACCAGAATGAGGAAAGGGGGGACTTGAATACCGGGATTGTTGGAGAATCTATACTTTCAACTATCTCCCATTGGCTCCCTTTTCTCCACCCTCTTCAGGGCAGCCTGGACAACATGACCTGCATCCTGGTCTGCTTCCCAGGGGCTCCCAGACCTTGTGAGGAGGCCCTCAGGAGAGAGCTGGCGCTGGACACAGCCTTGGGCCACAGAGTTGCTGGTGAGCAAGACACCCCGAGTGGGAGGGGTAGTTGACAAGGAACTCTCCCATAATTCTTGCCTTTTTCTCAGAGCTGTGTGCCTCTGCTCAGGAGCCCCCCAGCCTAAACAGTGTTTTTATGACTCTGGCCTCAGAAGACATCCCCGATTTACCTCCTGGGGGAGGGCTGTACTGCAAGTGAGTTAGGATGGGCTGGAGAGGGGTGTAATGAAGGGTGGGGTGGTAGGAGAAGGATCCCTTTCTGAGGACCTTCTTTTGCTCTCCAGGGCCACCATCATCGCTGAAGCTTATTCTCAGCTCTTCCAGGCCTCAAGAGAGTGCTGGGAGGTAAGGACCCTGTGTCCTCAAATGTTTCTCTTAGGAGCATGTAATCCAGCCCCCCCACCCACCCAGTGGTGGGGAAATTAAAGCCAGTAAAAACAAGGGTCTTGCCTGATAAATTAATATCTTCTCACGGTGGCCCTGAAGCATTGTACTAGATGTGATGGGAGGATGCAGAGAAGATACTGTGCTTCCCTCCCAAGAAAGGTAGCCCCAAATAAAGAAATAAGAAAGGTAGCCCCTATAATGTTGTATAAAGCCTTCTATCCCAAGCACATGCCCCCATCTAGGCAGAAAAATTCAAGGAATTTAATGACCAATTCCAAGGACTGAATGCATAGCAGATACACATCAGGACATCTCTGAGTATGGTGTAGGTCTTAGACCAGAGAGGCTGTAATTGGGCCCAGATAGCCGAGGAGATTTTGGAAATGACTGAAGAGGTGGCAGTGGACCAAGGTATTGGGTGGGGGCCAGGGAGGAAATGTGAAGGAAGAAGCTGGGCTCAGAGCCCCAAGGCCTTTGCAGAGAAGGAAGTTTGGTTATTATCATGTGGATGAGGGGGCATTTTTAATAATTTCTTAGCAGCATAAGGAGGTATTTTTCAGCTTTCTTTGAGTTGTGAGTGACAAAGACCCAATTCAACCTGGGAAAGCAAAGTGGAATTTACTGGGTCGTGTGATTGAAGAGTTCAAGGCCTTAAGTCATGGCTGCATCCAGTTGTCTCAGGAACCATCTCTTAGTTTTACTTTCTCTGAGTTGGTGTCATTCCCTTGCAGGGTCTCTCATTCCCTTGCAAGGCCTCTCATGAAATAGTAGAGAGTTGTGTCCATGTGGACATCCCACCCAGCCTGACATCCCCCAGGGGAGGGAGAGAGCTCAGCAATTTCCCAGCAGTTGCTGTGGTGGTCCCAGGACTAGTTCTCATTGGCCATGCAGGGTCACGTGCCTGACAAATCACTGTGTCTCTGATTGGCCAGCCTAGGGTCTTGTGCCCAAGCCTATCATTTGGGGTTGGGGTCTACTCCACTCAAAGCCTGATGGACTGAGATGGGCTGTGACGGTCCCTCCAAAGGAAAGTAGGAGTGCTGCTTCCAGAGGCAGGGGAGTAGGTGCTGAGAGACAAGAAGGGATTCCTATTCACTTTTTTACACACTTTATGTTACAGAAAGGGCAAGATGAGGCTGGGAAGCTCACTGGCACCCATTCGGACTCTGTCTTGGACTTGGAAGCCTGACAGCTGTTGACCCTTGGGAACCCAACAGTCAACTGGGGCCTCAACAAAACCCAGGAATAAAAGTGCCCCCTTTCCCAGCTACATGGACCAAAGGAAGGAAGACAAGCTGATGGAGGAACCCCAGAATGCTTATTTCCCCTTTTCCTACTTCTTCCTCACAAAAAGTCTTATGAGAGGGGAAATTCCACCACCATCCAGACAAGAAAAAAACAAAAAAACAAAAAACCAGCCAAAGGTTTTTGAAATATTTAGAGCTGAACAGATCCTGAGTGATCACCCCAGTTCAACAACCTCTTTCCTTCCTATTTTTCATCTTTTGTAAAGGGACATAGGGGAAAGTTTTTATTAAATTTTAATTACATAAGTGATTCCAAATACATAGCCTTGTAAAAAACAAACATTATTTGTCTATATATATAGAACACCTCCTGAGTGCCAGGGCTCAGGCACAGCCATGAACCAGGCCAGTCCACAAAGATCCTTGCCCTATGGGGCTGACTTAGTTGGGAGAGACAGCAGCAAACAAAGAAATCAGAAAATAAAGTCATCTGGGCAGCACCTATAGCTCAGTGGGTAGGGCGCCAGTCACATACATCGAGGCTGGTGGGTTCAAACCCAGCCCAGGCAAGCTAAAACAATAGTGTCAACTGCAACAACAAAAATAGCCAGGCATTGTGGTAGGCACCTATAGTCCCAGCTACTTGGGAGGCTGAGGCAAGAGAATCACTTAAGCCCAAGAGTTTGAGGTTGCTGTAAGCTGTGACGCCATGGCACTCTACTGAGGGCAACATGGTAAGACTCTGTCTCCAAAAAAAAGAAAGTTATCTCATGTTGGGGTTCCCTATGGGCCCCAACCTTCTGCCTCCCACAGTCTCACACACAGACAAGTATCTCAAGGAAAATAAAACAGAGGATATGATAAGTAAATGTCTTGGGGAGCTATTTTGGGTTTATTAATTTCACATTTTAATTTTTAAATTTTAATGTATTTAATTCATTTAGCTTTTGAATGAGTAGTGAATTCACTTGGTTTGAAATGCAAAGGGTACAGGATAGTATACAATGAAAAATCTTTCTGTATCCTTTGCCCTTGGGCCATTTCCTTCTCTATCTTGGGGTACTGCTTTAAAGGGAGATCAGGGAAGGTCTCTGAGAAGGAGACAATTGAGCAGAGACTTAACAGAGAAGGAGTCAGCTATGCAAATACTCCAGAGAAGAACATAATAAGTTGTAGGGAACAGTGCAAGGCCCAGAAGCAGGATTGGATTTGCCATTCTTTTTGTTTGTTGTTTTTATTGAGACAGAGTCTCAGTCACCCTGGGTGGGGTGTCATGGTGTCACAGCTCACAGCAACCTCAAACTCTTAGGATCAAGTGATCCTCTTGCCTAAGCCTCCTTAGTAGCTAGGACTACAGGTGCCCATCACAGCACCAGCTAGTTTTCCTATTTTTAGTACAGACAGGGTCTTGAATTCCTGAGCTCAAGCAATCATCTGCTTCAGCCTTCCAGAATGCTGGCATTACAGACATGAGCTACCATGCTTGGCCTGAATTTGCCATTTTCAACATGACCCATGGGATCTCTGTGACCACCAAATTCCCTATAATCCTACTCCCCATCCCAGTGGCAGCTCCTGCAATTAATTTGAGTTGCTTTTTCTAGGCCTTTTACTTTGCATTGGCCCACATGAATATGGTACCTTTCATATTTCATTTAGTTTTTTTTCTTACCCAGTGTATCATTAAGCAACTTGGGTTTTTTCATTCAGTAATATGTTGAAGACTCTTTCCTGTCATTTGCATACCTCATTCTTTTTAGCTACTGCCCAGCACTTCTTTTTTTGAAAAAGACAGAATCAGCTTTTACTATATTTACATCCAACAAAAATTTGCAGGGAATAATCCTTATAGCTCAGTTCAGGATCTGGGAGGGTGAGGCTTTCCCCAAGTTGGGATGGACAAGGATTAGAACTGGAGGGGGTATTAGTTCTTCCTAAGGGGTCCTTGGGACTCCTCTAGCTTCTGCTGCCTGACTTTCAAGGAGCTACAAACCACTGGACCATTTCCCTTCTCTTTTCTCATTCTTCATAAGAACCTCCTAAGCAAGGGAGCCGTGGCTTCACAATAAATAAAATAAAATACAGACACTAGATAGAAAGACATGGAGAGCTTTGGGCTCCTTCAGCAATGCCAGGGAAGAAGGACCATCACAGGTAGAGAATGACATCCTTCCTTCCATTTAAGGCAAAGGCTCAATAGTAAGTATCTTTCCAGTTGTTTCTTAAAATAAAACCTTTTTCTTTTTTTTTTTTTTTTTTTTTTTTTGAGACAGAGCCTCAAGCTGTCCCCCTGGGTAGCGTGCCGTGGCATTACAGCTCACAGCAACCTCCAACTCCTGGGCTCAAGCGAGTCTCCTGCCTCCGCCTCCCAAGTAGCTGGGACCACAGGCGCCCGCCACAACGCCCGGCTATTTTTTGGTTGCAGCCGTCATTGTTGTTTGGCGGGTCTGGGCTGGGGATTCGAACCCGCCACCTTAGGTGTACGTGGCTGGCGCCCTAGCCGGTTGAGCTATAGGCGCCTAGCCAAACCTTTTTCTTTTGAGTCTCACTTTGTTGTCCTTGATAGAGTGCTGTGGCATCATAGCTCACAGCAACTTCAAACTCTTGGACTCAAGCGATTCTCTTGCCTCAGCCTCCCAAGTACCTGGCTATTTTTTGTTGCAGTTGTCATTGCTGGTCAGCTGGCCCTGGCCAGGATCGAACCCGCCAACTTTGGTATATGTGGCTGGTGCTGTAACCACTGTGCTACAGGCACCAAGCCTGCTTGGCTATCTTTAGAGATGGAGACTCCCTCTTGCTCAGTCTGGTTTCAAACTCCTGAGTTCAAGCAATCTACCAGCCTCAGCCATAAAATAAAAACTTCCAAAATGACCAGGTCAATGTAGGTCTGTGGGTACCCTGGAGGGGAAATCCTGGTATAGGACAAGGGAGGAACAGAGCATTACCAACTCCTAGGCCTCTCCTAACATCAGCATAAATAAATTGGGCAGGGTGGAGATAGGAGAATCATGACTTTTGGTAATAATGGGTCCCTCTTTCTGCTGCCCCCACTTGGAGCCTTTGGCTGGGCAGGTTTCCTTGTCTATTTCCAACTTACTTTGAATGGAAAAGAGGTTATCTTTAAAATCCTTTCTCCCTCTCACCTCCCCACCCCAGGATGTAGAGGAAAGCTTAAGGGTCTCTACCATTCTGGAGTTGCTCTAAAACATTCTCAGCAGTCAGTAGTCTTGGAGATGGGCATCTGTGCCCACTGCTGCCTCTGCTCCTCCTTGCCCATGCTGCTGGCCAGCTTGTTTTTTTTTTTTTTTTGAGCCTCAAGCTGTCCCCCTGGGTAGAGCGCTATGGCATCACAGCTCACAGCAACCTCCAACTCCTAGGCTCAAGCGAGTCTCCTGCCTCAGCCTCCCAAGTAGCTGGGACCACAGGTGCTCACCACAACGCCTGGCTATTTTTTGGTTGTAGCCGTCATTGTTTGGCAGGCCCGGGCTGGATTCACACCCACCAGCTCAGGTGTATGTGGCTAGAGCCTTAGCCACTTGAGCCACAGTCACCAAACCTCTCCTAGCACTTCTGCCAATGGATGTGCCAGGGTTTTATGCTCCCTCCTGTCCATGGACATTTAAGTTATTTCTAATTTCTTGCTCTCACAACATTGCTACTATAAAGATCCTTGCTCAGGCTCTTTGTGCACATATACAAGAGTTCTCTAAGGCAGGGTTCTTGGTGGTGCTGGGTGTTTTGTATGATACTAGAGACAAGAATGCTTTGTATTTTTGTTTTGGTTTGGAGACAGAGTCTCACTCTCTTGCATAGGCTAGAGTGTCTAGCTCATGGCAAGCTCAAATTCCTGGGTTCAAACAATCCTGCCTCAGCCTCCTGACTAGTTGGGACTACAGGTGCCAACCACAACACCCGGCTAATTTTTCTATTTTTAGTAGAGATGGGGTCTTGCTCTTGCTCAGGCTGGTCTTGAACTCCTGCCCTCAAATGATCCTTCCACCTCAACCTCCCAGTGTCCTAAGATCATAGTGTGAGCCACTGTACCCAGCCAGTTTGTACATTAAAGGGTTGTAAAAAACAATACATGGAAACCAGACCTTGTGTCTAATATGTCTAAAATATTTACTATTTTCACCTTTATGGGAAAGGTTTGCCAATTCTTATGGTAGTGCAGGCGGCACCTGGAAGTGTCACCCCTTCTATCCCTTTCACAGATGGGAAAGCTGAGAACCAGAGAGGAGAAAAGACTTGCCCAAGGTCACACAGAATTGATGTCCTTATGCAGTTGACTAAATGTTTGTTGAGCTGCATTCTGGGCCTGGTTGGGTTAAACGAAGTCTAGAAATCAATTTAGTCAACACCTGCCCCCAAAGAACTCACAGCCAGAAGAGACACAAAGAGAAACAACTATAACCTTGATGGATCAGGGTTCAAGGTCTCCCAGAGTAGGGTGAAGAAGGAGGGAGGGTTAATCAGCTTCAGAAAAGAATTAATATCAGAGTTTGGTCTAGAAAGATAAAGCATTCCAGCACCCAAGAGTGGGCCTGGACAAAGGCTGGAAAGGTTGGTTCTCTTTCCTAGTCGGCTGGGCCATAAGAATTGCTCGGTTTACATTTATATCTTCGCCCTTGCGGTACCGGGAGCTCAGGCAAGAGGTCGATAGGCCAGATTTAGTCCTTTCCTCCAGGCCTCGGTTTACCTATTTGTAAACGTGGAACTGAAGATTTCCTAGGGTTAAGGCACCTCACTCACCCAGGCCAGGTGGCGCTGTACAGAGGGGCACGACCGCACAAGTGACGTCACTTGGGCGGGGCCTGCCAGACCTGCTGCGGAAGCTGTGGAGGGCTTCTGGGCTCAGACCAGAGCTGCTTGTGGGGGAGGGAGGTCCTGACAGCCGGCACCTAGGAGGGTCTCCCAACCACTCTGCCCTTCGGATTGCTGGCGTGATCCCGCCGTCCTCTGCCAGTGAAACTGAGTCATAGCAGG